TTTTTTTTTTTTTTTTGCTCACGCAGAATCCCGACTACCCCAACACAATGCTCTTTCTGTGCAGCCTGAACCCACGCAAGTAAGTTCAATTAGCAGAAACATGCTTTCACGTGGTTTCTGTCTGAAATGGCATTCCTGAAATGGCTTTCCTAAAACTCTGTTTGGCCTTCCAGGTGCCGATGGTCTCGGCTCCAAAGGAGGCCTACTCCTCCACACCCCCTCTCTATCAGCCCCCTCATAACTCTGAACCCCGACCACAGACAGACTCCATTGACCCCCTGCAGGTAACGGTGCACACCGCAGTGGTTTCACAGATGCTGTGTGTACTCTATGGCTTAGATATGTGAGTGATGTAGGATATACACCCTAGGTCTCCATGCCCCTGTCGTCTGAGCAGACCCCCACCCCTTCCTCTCAGCCCCAGGTGTTTCAGCCTGTCTCCAAACCCCTTCACAGTGGCATCAACGTTAACGCAGCTCCATTCCAGTCCATGCAAGCGGTAGGCCTCTACCTGTCTACCCCACCCTCTCCAAACTCACCCCCTCAGAGTTTGTCTCTCCATTCTGCTTCTGTTTTGTTTTTCATGCTGTGTAAGGGGCCGTTCACAAAGAACACACTTTTGCATTACATTACGCTGTTTTTCCATTGGTTTTCTATGTAAACAAGTGTTACACTGACACGTTTGATTGTTCTGCTCATGTCTTGCAGCTTTTGCAGTGTCTCACACATGATGCGGTGTTCTAAAACCATAAAAAAAATTTAGACCTTAGGCTTATTTTTCTTCCACTGCCCCACTTTTTTACATGCAAGAACGCATTCTGTGTGAATGGCCCTTGACAGGCTTGTTTTGTTTAAAAGGATGTGAACCTTTTGAGTTTATCGTGTTCAAGCCTGTTGTATATCATTTGTGGATGAGCCGTTACCGTCAGTCAGTGAACAGTGAAAGGATGTTTAATAAAGCGTCAACTAGTGCACCAAAACAATCTTAGTGTTTTTATCTTAGTGTAAATTCTATTTGTCTATCCTTTATCTCCATTTAAATGTCAAATTATTTATTTACCTAATTTTTAAAAACCTGTTTGTGCCATGAAAACAGGCTGATATGGCATAATACAACTTCCTACAAACCACATGCAAGTTTTGGATATGCTTTCATGTTTTCTCTCCTCCATTAGGTATTCAATATGAACGCTCCAGTTCCTCCAACCAATGAGATGGACTCTCACAAGATTTCCAGCCAGTATCAGAGTAGCTACGGTCAAGGCTTCAGTGCACAAGGCACCCTTCCAGCTGAGCAGCAGGAAATACCTCAAGAAGCCCTCCAGTCAGGTAAGAGAATTGCTGCTACATTCGTGCCATTTTATAGTTTTAAAAATGTAAACTACTATAACTAATTGGTTCATAAAAATCTATTTTTGTTTCTTTGTAGTTGGCCCCTTCCATTCTCAAGACCAAGGTATTCCATCTGCATCTCAGCAGCCCTCAGTGCAGGGCACAGGATTTGGGCGGCCGGGTCAGTCCTTTTACAGCAACAGAGCAATGCCACGAGCTGGACCCAGAAATCCCAGAGGGGCTTTGAATGGCTTCCGTGGACCATCAAATGGATTTAGAGGTGAGACGAGACAGGCTAGTCTGAAATCCAATGTAAAATCTGAAAAAAATCCAGTGTAAAATATCACAATTTAAAAAAAAAAAAAATTTTATGTTTAGGTGGATATGATGGTTATCACGCTCCATTCCCCAACACTCCAAACTCCGGATACGGTCAAACTCAGTTTAGCACTCCGCGAGATTATTCCAACAACACCTACCAACGGGTAACTTCAAGAAAACAAATACCATGCAGATTTGTGGAGACTTGAGAAGTCATATACAGTATGCGGTACCATAATAGAGTATGTTTTAAAGTCCTGTGTGTTTTCTTTTCAGGATGGATATCAGCAAAGCTTCAAGCGAGGAGCTACCCAGGGACCTCGAGGTTGCTCTCGAGGTAATGCTCAAGCGATGCGATCCTAAAGTCTTTGGGAAGACTTGTTTCTTTTTGGCCACTTTGAACATTCAGTTATTGAGAATGTTTCCCCCAGCCCATATTTTTACTCCTATCAGTGGTTTTGTTTTGTTTTTGTTTTTTTGGCTTCTTGATTCAAGTAAGCCCGCTTTGATAGTTTTAATATACTAATGTGTTTTACAGAGACACAATGGAGAGCTGAAACTGTCAGTGTTGTGATTTTTCAGCCAGGTCGTGTTTAAAACAGATATTCCTGTAAACTTGAAAGATTTTCATTAATTTATTTTTTTTATAAAATAAAATGCAAAAAGATAACTGCCACTGTCGGTTTCAAACCATAGGAGTGTTTTTGATATTTTGTTGGCCTGTCCCTCCCTTTCCCATACTTGGTTCTTGCCTGTGTATAGGGTACTGAAGGCATTAATTGTTTTTTTGTTCTCCCCATTTCATTTGAAGAGTTTTTTTTTTTTTTCTTTTTTTTTTCAGCTGTCCTGCCCTTTGTATGCTCATGTCACTCCTTGAGAGAATGTTTCAATAAAGATGTGTTGCATTACCTGCTTGTCTGCCGCTGCTTTCTTTTTGCTCTCCATGCTCGAAAATCCTCTCACCTGTCCTGTGACCCTTTGTCTACTAAAGTGTTGAAGGTTGACTTTGTTTCCTGTAGTCTTCCCAAGGGGAGGCAGGTGATTGGTCCGCTTATCGGTCCGTTTTTTCTGCAACTCTGCTGTTTGCTTTTCTGCCTCTTGCGTCATGTACTATATCCTGCTTTCCAACAAGATTAAGAGTTTCTTTTAATTAGGTGTGAAGCATTAACGCAACAAAATGGCCCTAAGGTTGCCTCCATGATCTACGATGCTGTTCCAAATCAGTCCATAGCCAATGCACTGCTTTTCCTGCTTCTGTCAAGCCAAAAAATGTTCTATGTCGTTCCAAACCTGTATTTATTACCATATTGACACTGCTTTTTTATATATACAATTGAAGTCAATTTTGACCATGACAAAAAGACAAAGTTTACTTAAAAAAGCTAAAAATAAAAGTTGTATGAACTTTTTTTTTTTTTTTTTGGTCACTTGATTCTTACTGGTTTCATACACTTTCATTGTATAAAAACGAGGTGCAAGAACATCTGGCAAAATATTTCCTTTTGTTGTGATTAGAAGAAAAAATATGGGTTTGGAATGATAGGGTGATTGTGGCAAATTGCCATGGCAAAAAATACATATATATTTTGGGGCAAAATATGCTGTTAAATAATCTTGTGTGACCTGGACATTAGAAGCTATTTGTTGGATTGTACATAATTTAAGGAAAGCTATAAGAGGGCTTTACAAAAAAATTAACCGAATACTCTCTTATGTGACTATTTCAGAGAATCCTGTTGAGAATACGTATGTTGCTACTGACATTTGCTCTAATTGCTGCTTAAGATGGTTTAAATTCATTACATTTGCAGTGCTTTTTATCTCTATAATGTCATTTCGCTTTCACTTGTTTTTTTCAAAGTCTAGTTAAGAACAGCCAGACTGTTGCATGTTGCGCTACAGTCCAGCTGTGAGAGTATTTAAATGCTGTAATGATATATGGAGCTGTTCCGATGAATCTGTTGTTGTAGTTTTGGGATTGATGGTTTGCATTTACCACTTGTGGTATAAAATACATAATGTACTTATTTCATGGGTGTTTTATGAAAACAATAGTAAAAGCTCATTGTAATTGGCCCTAAAACATAATTGAATGCGACTAGAATATTTAACGCCACATTGATTTTCTGATGTATTTGGGTTTCAGGACGAGGGGGATCATATCGGTCCAGCAGAGGAATGGGTCCCATGGCTGCCCAACAGACCAGCTAAACCCAGTCCTTTAGCCATTATCAGCCCTGTTCCACCCTTTTATCTCCTCCACCCATTTGGACTCTCAAACATGAGCCGTGCCACTCCAGACCATGTAGTTAGATGACCGCACGATTAGCAAGTATGGACAAAACCAATGGTTTTGGGAAAAATACAGTACCAATGAGACTATAGCACTCCCAGTACTGTAATTGCTCCGAGCTCTCAAAGCTTTCTCTCAATCATATGCTATTGCACAGCCTTTACACATTTGAGACAGAACATGTGCCTTTGATTATGGGTGTCTGGATTTTAATTGAGCTTGGTGGAATGACGACTTAGTAGCTGGGAACAGCCGCTAGATTATGAATGTGAAGTACACCGTACACCAAAGGCACTTAGATTTTGGCCAAACGAACTGTTAAGTGAATGTGAAAAATTTACTTGTATGTACTGTATTGTAACGTGATTTTTCTCTTCTTTTGGCTCAGCCAAATGGTTTACAGGAAATGCATTGTACTGTTTGTGGCTGAATGACTGCTTCATTGTATTTCTTCCAATCAATGTTGATTAGAATTAATGCTAACTAATAAATGATTTTTGAAGGACAAGACACTTTAAAAGTTATTCACACACATTAGGTATGACATAAGACTGAGAGCAGACAGACAGGATCTTCTTTGAAGCCATAATACACTTTGTGCATTTAATATGTTAAACTCTTAAAGGGGTCCTATTATGCTTTTTCACTTTTTCAACTTTAGTTCATCTGTAATGTTGCTGTTTCAATACAAGTTACGCTCAGGAGACTTGTACTGTAGAAGTAATTGCATGTGATGTTTTTTGTTCATACAAGAACACTTTTTTCAAATTGTTTTAATTTTTTTTATTGACCTTACTCTCAAAGTTCCCACTGTAAGCAACATTCAAACTCCAGAGTAGCCCTAATCAATTAAAAACTTCCAGTACAATTCAACAATATTCTGATACCACACAACTAGGTTTAAAGTAGCTCTTCGTAGCCATTAAAATTTCAGAAAAATAAATGTGCAAAACAAAAGCGTACACACATCCAATCCACTGTGCTGGAAAATAAAATATCCACAACATATGAAAAAGATATTTTCAATAACAAAAAAAAAAAAATCAAACACTTGTATCAAACCGCAAAGTCTGCAATAAATGTATTATGCTTACAAAACCAGCCAATTCCGTACTAGTTAAAACCGCAGCACACAACCGCAAGTAATCATTGACTGGGCAGGAGGTACTGTTTGTTGAAGTCTCTGGTGTTAGGTCAGTTTTCCACACAATCACGCAGGAAAAAGCATATGACCGTCCTATGGCACATAGTTGTGGTCGAGGGGCATCTGTGGAGAATCGTGGGGTGGGCTATTGTGTCCTGGAGGCAGTGGCTGATTTTCTTGGGGTATATTTTGGTGTTCCTGTCCTAAATCTTGTTGATTTTGGGGTGCATCATGTTGTTGTTGTTGTTCTAGAGGGATATCTTGGTGTCCTGGGGGCAGAGGCTGGTGCTCAGGGGGCACAGGAGGCTGGTCATGTCCTAGTGACTCAGGGACAGCATTCCCTTCCACTGTTATAAGAGATTTAGAGTGTTTTGTATTATTGCCAAGAATAACAGGTTACACTTAAATGTAATGTTTAAAACTCTAGTGCATTTGCCAAGAATGTTACATTTAAATGTTAAACATTTTAAGTATATTTGCCAAGAATGTTGCTTTTAAAATAAGGTGTTAGATGTAAATGTTTAAATGTTCAAATGTATTTTTGTCAGGAATGTCACTATTAAAATACATGTTTCACTTTAACTTTAAATGGTTAAAATTCAAGTATGTTTTGGAATAATGGTGTGGGTATTTTGAATATTATTTATTTAAAGTTTTTTTTGTGCTTTAACAATATGTAGCCAAGACATTGGAAACCATGTAAACCCACTGCATACATTAACTGATATAACGTTTCTTTAACCGTCTTCACAATACTGTTAACCTAGAAAAACATGTCAGTGGATCTCACATTTAAAACCCAGTGTAAGAATAGCTAGCTAGTGTAACCTTCACATGTATCTGGTTATGTCTAAAGTGAAAGTATTACTTACATTGCATCTCAGGTGGAGGCGGATCCTTCTGTGTTTTTAACCGCTCCATATGCTCCACGGCCTGATAAGGATGACGCACAGAACAGGTTTTTTTCTTATACTTGTTTTAAACATCTCTTCTTGTTTAGTTTTTATTTTTATTCAATGAGCAGGTATGAGACAAATCAGTTCAGTCACCTGCTATGTCTAAAGTGAAAGTATTACTTACATTGCATCTCAGGTGGAGGCGGATCCTTCTGTGTTTTTAACCGCTCCATATGCTCCACGGCCTGATAAGGATGACGCACAGAACAGGTTTTTTTTCTTATACTTGTTTTAAACAACTCTTCTTGTTTAGTTTTTATTTTTATTCAATGAGCAGGTATGAGACAAATCAGTTCAGTCACCTGCTGCAGTTCTACTTTCTGAGCATTGAGCTGCTCCTGCTGTCGCTCCAGATCCTCTCTCTGCTTCTGAAGGTCAGCTGCTTTCAGATTTAAGTCTTCCTCCTGCCTGGCCAACTGCTCCTCAAACTCTCTCATCTCTTCGTCAGTATATGCCTGGTTCTGTTCTAGAGTCTGGGGTCATCCAAGATAATTATTAAGTTGTTCCTTATTAATTAAAGGACTAAGCTATTAGGCAATCATCCAACATGAAAGCATGAATTAGTGGCTATTAAGCAATGGTCTAAATATCTGTTAAGCATGTGACCATACTCACTTCCCAGCTGTCTGGTTCAAGAAACTCTTTTTTCTTTGTGGCAACCAGAAACTCATCTAAGGACACCAGTCTGTCTTTATTAGAGTCAACCTGTAAAGGCCAGGAGATTACAGATTTAGAAAAAAAAAAGTCTTCCTGAAGTTGCCAAGCCATACAAAGAGAATTGGCCCATTGTTATAGTCATCATTTAACCTCATTCATGACATGTTCTCTCATTCGCAGCCTCTCCTCCTCCATTTCAACCATGTCGTCCTCTTCATTAGTTGGATCATAGATCTTCTCCAGCTGAAAAAAATAATCACAACAGAAGCCATTTCATTTGCTGCTATATAATAGCAGAGCAAGTTATAACTACAATTACTATATGTTTTATTTTTATTCTGTGGTGAATTATGCCACGGTTATACCTCTTTCGTGAACAGGGCTTCCAGCTCTTGTTCATCAAAGAAGCCATCTCCATTTGCGTCTGCAACACAAAAAAAGAGCAATATTAAGCATGTCATTTTAACATTCTCATATCCCGGATTCATCTTAAGCTATCAAAAATATTTTACCATGCAGATTGAAAAATGTTTTGGGGTCAAAATCTTCAGGGTCCAGGCCATCAGCCTCTTCCCATACTTCTTTGAGCTGATCCTTGCTACCCTACATAACAGAACATTCGAAAAACATGAGCATATCCTCAATGAAATCACAAACATTAAGATAAGTAAATACGTGGTGACTTACGGGGTGATTGACTTTAGGGTGATCAGCATGTTTCTTCTTCATCTCCTCATAGTGCTCCTCTTCTTTCCTCCTGCCCTCCTCATCAAGTGTCTTCAGGTGTTCCCGTCTCTCGTGCTCTTTCATCATCTCGTACCTTTTAAATTCTTCATGCCGTTCCTTGTCGTAGTTCTCCAGATCTTTTGTAGCCTATATTGCAAGATCATAAATATGACTGAAATATAATTGCTTGACATGTTTTCGTCTTCAGTTATCTTATGAATGCGAAAAGAAGGAAAATGGCCATGAGATGTTTCTTGGATTTAAAACAAAGAGTATTACATGATGTTCTTTTTAAGTGCATATGGAAGATTCCAGAAATCCTTTAGAGTGTATTTGTAGAACGCAGTTCAAAAACATTTTTAACCAGTACAGATCATATTTAGTGAGTTACATCAGTCCCACTTTTATAGAAAACCTGAAAATATTAAGACATTTTTAAATCGCCATTTCCAGGCCTGGCAGTGTCAATGAAATTTGTTGCGTTTTTTCTAAATCACTGTGAAATTATTGATTAAAAACGACTTAGTCGTGGAAATGTATTGTTATTATTATATTTTGTTGCAATAAGAAATTTATTTTAAATGCTAAATATATTTGGTAGCTTCGTTCTTGACCTTAAGGATTATCTTAAGCACCAAAATCAAGTATCAAATAAAGGGAATATTCAAGCATTCAAAGTAACAGCAACAGAATTAAACGAAATATGATAGAAGAAGCTGAGTAACTGTAAGTAATGACGTACCGATTTAATAAGTCTGTCCAGATCCTCAACCTCAAATGTGTGTGGGTTCATGTGGTTCAGATGCTCAAACTGTTTGAGTAATGCCTGGTGATCTACTGCAATATCTGATAAACATGAGAGAGAACAGTGTTCAGAGAATGTTTTGAAGACCCATTTTGTGTTTATGGTCTGTTCATTCATTAATACGCCTACATAGGAGAAATAGCCTCGAGCACTTATTCAACTGTAATTATTTTTACAGCCATTCTTACCATTCCCTCCTTCAATATCTTGCTTGGCTTTGATTAGGGTTCTCAGACGGCTGACTTCTTGCCTTTTAAGTTCATCCAGCTTGGTTCTCACATGGTGGCTGACAAAGTCAAGCTCTTTAGCCAACTTCCCTTGCTGAAATCAGCAGGAACGAACAGATTAGCCCTGTGTGACCTTTGTATTGTACAACACAACACAAATAAAGCCATGCTGTTTCTTACCTTTATATCTTCCATGTCTGTGTTGTGAAGCTTTTCTCTAAAATGTTGATCTTTTTCAAGGAAATCGATAACTTCCCTGAGATAGCGGTCATAATGCAGTCCAGTGTCCTACAAATATAAATAATTATGTGTATATGAATTGAATACAATAGTGTGCTTTTTTTCTTTGTAAATGCTAAAGTAAATGCTTTCAGAATTGTGAAATATTTATGCATCCTCACATTACAAGACTACTTACTATAACTTGCAGCCAAAGCTTGTCATGTAATTAGCTGATCAAATATCTTACCACACTCTGGGGAGGCTCTTTGACTGTTTCCTCTGGGAGCTTCACCTTAGTTTTATCTATGCTTATTGGCACTGCCTTGGCCCAGGACATCACACTCGCCAACACAAGGCAGCTGGTGAGGAGCCCCTTTAAATAGGACATCTGGGAAAATCAGCACACATAGGCCTACAGATGAAACATTAGACGGAGATGACAGCTCTATCATATCACATAGCGACACTGACTGGTTATGTCGCAAACCCCAGTGAGCTGACTACCCTTTTGGGGAATCCCATGTGAATCTGAAGATTCGAATCTAAATATTTTCGACATCACAATTCGAATAGGGGTCTAGGTAGGCAGCTCAGTAGGGCTTGAGACACAGCCAATGATTGGCAGATCAGCTCTCCAATAAACCCGTTACTAAGGATTATCAGTCACTATATTAAAGTGATACTCAAAATATACATGGTTTTGTATGGCAAGCCATATTGCATGACAGAAAAGTGGTTCGAAGGGATGGCTGATCTCGATGCATAGAGGCTAATTTCATTAGCTTTCATTTGACAGTGAAGTCTATGCCAGACGTTATAGCGAAACTCGCTGGACATTTCATTAGGCAAGGCAAGGCAGTGAAAAGTTGAATTGTTGATGCTGTATTTGGGTTAAAGCAATGAAATAATGGCACTTACGGTGTCAGATTGGTTTCTATCGAGCTATCTCGAGTGTTTTCCGCTTCCTTTCATTACCGCTGGTTTCCTGACTGTCCGCTATCTTGGACTGATGGTGATGACTTACAGAGGCGGACACAGAGCAGAGCAGCAGGAGGAGACAGAGAGCTCGTCCACGTAGATCATTTACAGCGCTTGATTTGCATAGCGGGGTTCTTCTTCTTCTTCCATTTTTTGGCGTGTCACATCCTGTTTGCATATCGCCACCTACTTTTGCTGTTATGCAGTCATGGTTGATTTATGATCAATGTATTCCTTGTTTTTGCTTTTCCTGTTCTTACACACGTATATACACAACTATTCCTACTTAAATAATTATTCGATGCTCCATCCCATTCCTTCTCCCCAGGCTCCACCTGGCGCTGCGTGTTCAGCTCCTCCAGACTAAATCCGTGGTCTCCTGAAGATCCAGAATAGAATAGAGCATCCGCATTCTATATTTAAATCCTTTCACTTAACCCAGTAGTATATATGTATTTTATTAATATCCTGTATCCTTCTCTGTCTCTGTTAAACTCATAGCCTAATAAGTATTCAAATCCTTATTTACCTTTTTTGTTTAAATATGATATTAGTTCCTTTCTTTCTTCATCATACCTTGTACAATTATATATTACATGCTTCACTGTTTCTTTCTCCCCACAGTTCCCACATAGACCAGTCTCATGTATTCCAGTTATGAACAGTGAAGCGTTCAATCCCGAGTGTCCAAGTCTCATCCTGGTTATTATACCCTCTACTTTTCTATTTCTACCACTTACGCTTCTTTTAGTATTAACCATTTTTTTTTTAAATATTATATAAATGCCTTCCCTTATTATCTGTATTCCATATGTCCTGCCATTCTTTAATAATATTTTCCTTAATGATAGTTTTAATTTCACCTTTACTTAATTAAAGGAACATTCAAATCTATTACTTCTTTTTTTAAAGCATTTTTTTGCTAATTCATCAGCAGATTCATTACCAAGTATCTCTAGATCAATTTTAACATCAGGTATTATCCATGTTGGCACCTCTCCCCATACAGGTGACACACTACATTCTATATTTGTTATCTGATATTTCTCTGCCAACTGATTTATATTCCATCCATATCCTCTCCCTTTGTTATTTGAGTATTCCCAGCAATTTTTTTAAAATATCTTTAGCTATATGTTTTCTAGAATAACTCTTTAAAGACAACCAATATACCAAAGACAAATTAACTCTCCTCAAACTCAATGGCATTTCATTTGCCACTACTAATAATGCATTGACTGGTGCTGTTTTAGTTGCTCATAAGCTTATTCTAAGAGCTCTATACTGTATCCTATCTAGACTCCTTAATACTGTTTCTGATGCTGAGCCATAAATCATGCATCCGTAATCTATTCTTATCAAAGCTTGATATATTGTTAACATTGATTCTTTTTCAGCACCCCATTCTTTTCCAGCTATTGCCCTCATCACATTTAAAATCCTCCTGCATTTTTTATCTATTTCCTCAACATGTTTTTTCCAGGTATATCTCCCATCTAACCAAATTCATAGATACTTAAAAACCTTTACTTGTTCTAAAGGTTTTCCATACAACAGCAGTTCAATATTTTTAGAAACTTATTTTTTCCTACTGAACAACATATAACATGATTTATTTGTTGACATTTTAAAACTCCATTCTATACTCCATTTTTCCACCTTTTTAATAGCTGTTTCCATACTTGAAATCACTTGGGATACATTTCAACCTCTCTTCCAAATAGCACCATCATCAACATATAACGCACATCCTGCACCATATCAGAATCAGAATCAGAATGAGCTTTATTGCCAGGTATGTTTTCACATACGAGGAATTTGTTTTCGTGACAGAAGCTTCCGCAGTGCAACAGAATGACAGTGACAGAACAAAAACACAGATAATAAAAGAATAAAAAATAGAACAAGTAAATAAGAAATAACAATATATAAATTGACAATTGTATGTGCAGGTATATTACAATAGACAGTTTTGTATGTACAGGTACATTATGTGCAAATTTGAAGTGTAGACTAAGTATGCGTGTTAGATAAATAAGTGTATGAATGTATAAATAGTGTATGGGTGTAGTGTTGTGTGTTCCACAGTTATTGTCAAGTGTTCGTGAGATGGATGGCCTGAGGGAAGAAACTGTTCCTGTGTCTGGCCGTTCTGGTGCTCAGAGCTCTGTAGCGTCGACCAGA